CACACACACACACACACACACACACACACACACACACACTCATACCTGCATCTGATTGGCTGTTCCAGGAACTGACCCGAAACCCTCAGTTCATTGTGGGCGGAGCCACCAGGACCGACATCTGTCAGGGCGCTCTGGGTAAGTCATGTGACCTCTCACAGGTTATCTGTCCAGGTTTAACATACTGCTACTTATCTGGCGGTTATTAAGCAGTTGTCAGAGAAGCTTTCCGACAGTCATGGAGGCAGTTATCAGGTAGTTATTGGTGCAATAATTGGTGCAGTTATCGAGCGGTTATATGCAGCTGTGGCTGAATGAACTTTAGTATCAGCGCTGGAATAAAAACTCCGCATCAAACCCAAAATCAGCTGCTGACTCTGTCCTGACCCGCCAGCTCAGATTAGCACTTTTTGTTTGCTTTGACGCCGTCACAGAGACGCTTATATGCAAACATCCTTATTTTCATTGTCAGAGCTCCCAGTTTGCACTGGGACAGGCTCAACCGGTCTGATATGCAGTGTGAGTCGGCGGTTGGAACTTTCCAGTAAATCAGGTGTGTGATTCTTAGAACCACACACAGAAACCTGCACTTCCTGCTCCTCCAGTACCTTCTCCTGAACTCCAGGAAACTGTTTAGCACCGCAGAACCTTGTGGGCCTCTTGTTTAGGTGGTTCTCGATGCTGGTTGGTTTACCACACTGACCTGTGCATGTGTGGTTTGTTGTTCATTAACAAGCCAGTCATCCTGAAACTGTGTTTCTGCTTTGAACAAACGTTATTCAGCACATGCAGCACTTCGGCAGTCATGTGATTCAGGCTCCGCCTCTTTCATGTAAACGTGCTGGTGGTACGATCAATGAACTCCAGGCTGATTGATCCAGCTGATCATATACATACATACAGTTAGAGCTGTGTTACACTCCTCTGTCTCTTCGGTCAGCTGAGGCCATCGTAACTCTGCATCTGTGAAAACAGGAAGTAAACCAGGTCCTCACAAACACGCAAACACCAGCATGTGTGTATGAGTCAACAGACTGGTCTCTGTGTGTCTCTCTCACACACACACAGGACTCCACCCAGCTGACTCACTGTATGTGTGTGTGTGTGTGTGTTGAACTGGACAGGAATGATCGGTATGAACCCTCCACCCCTGGCCGCTGGTGGGAGGAGCTCAGGCTTGTTTTCGATGCTTTGGCTCCGCCTGCTGGAGGCAGAGAAGCACTTTATAATAACAGGGGACTCAGACTGAGTGATCAATAACAACTAAACAGTAATAATGGATCAATAACAAAAACAATCAGCATTAACGTTCCACTGCGCTGCTTATTGATCCCTAAAAGCAACTCACAGAGATAAACGGGAAGTGGACAAAATACCAGAAACACTTGCAGGGCTACGAGCCTGGCTCTGGCGATCCTCAGTCTTTACTTCAGTTTTGAGTTTGTTTACTTCCTGTCATGTGACCGCTGTAACTCGTCCCTGCGTGGATCCATTTTGGTTTAGTTCTAATGTTTTTGTCTAAAGTCAAAACTTTTGGCATTTCCAGCTCCGCGCGAGCTGGCAGCCTGTTTCAGCGGCGCCTACTCAGCACTGAGTAAAGTACTTACTTACTTACTT